AAAGTAAAGACTGTGGCAAGAAGAAAGGACTATATGCTTTTTCTTTTGTAGTTCAAGCTCTTCTCTGGGGGCAGATCCTAAATGTGAGAGAGGAAAAGAGATCTCTTAACATCAAGTTCTGGGTTTTGACTGTTTTATGGGGCTGCTGAATTCTTCCCAACAGCCTCCTTTTCTACAATCATCAAAATTTCAACATAGAAAAATATGTTTCCCAGTCTCCCTTGCAATGTGACTAAATTCTGGCCAATGGATTATGAGCATGAAAGATGGTACCAACTAATAGGCCATGTCCTTAAAGGAAATCATGATGGAACATGATGTGGTGCAGAGCCACTCTAGACCGGGAACTATCCTCACAGCACTCTAGGACTGCTGGAACAAGAAGCAGCTCTCTATGGGACAGAGCTGGCTGAATTCCCTCTGCAGTGTTCACTGGTTTTCCAAAGTGTATTTTTTATCATGCTCACCTCACAAGCTCACCTGGTAAGAGACAAAATCTCAGTGCCATACCCTTAAGCCCCATCACCATCTCACTTGTGGGTTTGATTTTTCTGGGAGCATCTCTGTTTGGTATGAAATCCTAAAACTAAAGTGGGTTTCTTGGGAATGTTTAAATACAATGCTTCCCTCCTCTGTGGAGTGTGTGACAGGAGTTTGTGGCCTACTTTCTGATAAGTTCCAGCTTCAAGTCAGTAATTCTTTACCCAGCACAACTCTGCTTGAGGACACAGGTCAAGGTCATCTCTCTTCTTTGTGTCTTATCGTCATTCCTGGGTTGGAAGGACACAGAAAATTCTCAGGCTGTTCTTTTTTTTTTTTTTTTGCTTCCCTGACGATGCACAGGGTTACTTCTGGTTCATGCACTCAGCTATGATTCCTGGCGGAGCTCAGGGGACCATATGGAATGCTGGGAATCAAACTCGGGTTGACTGTGTGCAAAGCAAACGCCCTACCCTCTGTGCTATCACTCTAGCCCTCCGGCTGTTCTTTACCAGTCACAATTGGCTCCAATTTGCAATCTTCCCCATGCTTGCAGACATGACATCTTGGGCACTGTTGGAAACACCTGCATCAGAAGATGCTGCTCCCGCCACAGAAATTTCAGTTTCAGCTCTACAAAATTCTTCCTCTAAATGCCTGGATTGTAATAATCCTGCCTAGCTCCTCCTGGCTCTTGCAGAGCTTCTGTGGTTGCTACCTCAGCTATCCACTATCCATTGAATTCTTGCCTTGCTTTTCAGTGTTCTGTCTATTCTTTCTATGAAATGCTGTTTAAATAGTCAACATGATTTGTTCTCAGACATCATCCTGACTGACCCATGGGACTAAATCCTATACCTATGAAACTCCCCTCTGGAATTTTTCTCTGAATTTGCTGTTATGGCAGATAGAGCTGGAGAGTATCATGAGGAGTAAAAGTCAGTCAGAAGGGGTAAGGGGCAGATACAGAATGATCTCTCTCATTTGGGTGAGTGGATATGAAGAAATAGACTAGGGGAATAACAAATTTCCAAAGGCAACAGAAACTGAGAACACACCCTCAGTGGGAAACTGACCACTGTGGTGGAGAGGATAGGTAAGAGACCCTGGGACAAGGGCAGAGGGAAGTGATCACCTGGGTAGAAGATTCATGTATAAGCTCCTACTAATGACAATTTGTAAACCACAGTGCCCAACATTTAAAAAAAAAAAAAGAAATTTCTCTACTATCTTCCAAGACCCCACCCCTAAATCTGTCATTTCTCACTGCTTTCATTTCTATTGTAGAATTGGTTGTGATGAGCTGCCATCACTGATCCCCCACCAACCTCCCATTTATATCCATTCTGAGTGAGGTCAGAGGGTTCCTCACTGTCTTCCCACTCCTTGGCACGAAGGCAACTCTGAACACACGTTTAAACATTATAAAAATGGCAATACTGCCCAAAGTATTGTATAGATTTAAAGCGGTCCTAATCAGGATATCCATGACATTTTTCAAAGAAATAGACAAAACACTCCTGAAATTCATACAGAACAATAAACCCCCACGAATAGCTAAAGCAATCCTTGGGAAAAAGAAGATGGGTGGCATCACCTTCCCCAACTTAAAAATCTACTACAAAGCAGTAGTAATTGAAACAGCGTGGTATTGGGCTAGAAAAAGACCTGCAGACAAATGGAACAGAGTTGGATATTCTGTCACAGACTCCCAAGTATATGGCCACTTAATTTTTGATTAAGGAGCAAGAAACGTGAAGTGAAACAAAGAAAGCCTCTTCAACAAGTGGTCCTGGGAAAACTGGATAACTACCTGCAAAAAATGAATTCTGACCTCTAATGCCAGGCACAAAAGTCAGATCAAAGTGGATTAAAGACCTCAATATCAGACATGAATCCATAAGGTACATAGAGGAAAATGTAGGCAGAACCCTCCATGACATTGAAGCTAAATGCATCTTTAAGGATGAAACTGTCTCGTTTGCCAAGGCATTGAAAATCAGATGGGCTGGACACGTAATGAGATATAGAGATGACTGCTGGGCTAGAGCCATTACTGACTGGATTCCACGGGACGTCAAAAGATGGTGTGGCCGCCCACCTATGAGATGGTCAGACTTCTTCGTCAAGACCCTGAACAATTGGTTTGAGGGTCTTCGTGTTCCTAGAACGAGCAGATGCCATTGGGCTACGCTAGCATGCAACAGGGATTAATGGAGACGTTACTGGCGCCCGCTTGAGCAAATCGATGAGTAACGGGATATCAAGTGATCAAGGATGAAACAGCACTGACCATGCAAGTGGAGGCAAACATAAACAAATGGGACTACATCAAACTAAGAAGCTTCTGCACTTCAAAAGAAACAGTGACCAAAATACAGAAAGAGCCCACAGAAGGGGAAAGAATATTTACCCTATACCCATCTGATAAGAATATCCAGGATATACAAGACACAGTAGAATTGTATGAGGAAAAAAACTCCAACCCCATCGAAAAATGAGGAGAAGAAATGAACAGAAGTTTCCTCAAAAAAAAAAATACGAATGGCCAAAAAAACATATGAAAATATGCTCCACATCGCTAGCCATCAGGGAGATGCAAATCAAAACAACAATGAGATATCATGTCACACCACAGAGACTGGCACACATTCAAAAGAACAAAAGCAACCATCGCCAGTGTGGATGTGGGGAAAAAGGGACACTCTTTCACTGTTGGTGGGAATGCCCACTAGTTCAGCCTTTTGGGAAAACAACATGGACAGTCCTTCAAAAACTAGAAATTCAGCTTCCATATGACCCCACAATACCACTTCTGGAAATATATCCTGAGGATGCAAAAAAGCAGAGTAGAAATGACATCTATACCGATATGTTCATTGCAGCACTCTTCACAATAGCCAAAATCTGGAAACAACCCAAGCGCCCTAGAACAGATGATTGATTAAAGAAACTTTGGTACATCTACACAATGGAATACTATGCAGCTATCAGGAGAGATAAAGTCATGAACTTTCCTTATAAATGGACAGACACCGAGAGTATCATACTAAGTGAAATGAGTCAGAAAGAGAGGGACATACATAGAAGGACTGCACTCATTTGTGGATTATAAAACAACATAACATGAGGCTGACACCTAAGGATAGTAGATACAAGGGCCAGGAGGGTTGCCCCATAGCTAAAAACCTGCCTCATGAGTGGAGGGGAGAAGGCAGGTGGAATAGAGAAGGGATCACTAAGAAAATGATGGCTAGAGGGATCAGTCAGTATGGGAGATGTGTGCTGAAAGTAGATAATGGATCAAACATGATGACCTCTCAGTCTGTATTACAAACCATAATTGCCAAAAGTAGAGAGTATGGGGAATATTGTCTGCCATGGAGGCAGGGGAAGGGTGGGGAAGGGGGTGGTATACTGGGGAGATTGGTGGTGGGGAATGTGAACTGGTGGAGGGATGGATGTTTGATCATTATGTGATTATAACCCAAACATGAAAACTTTCTCACGGTGATTCAATAAAATTAAAAAAAATACCCTTTTGTTCTCTGTCTCCTTTTGGGTGTTGTGGTTTGCAAAAGAGGCAATGAGTGGCAATCATATTATTAAAAAAAAAGAAAAAATCAATAAAAATTTTAAAAATACAATATATCAAATTGCTGAGAAAATGTGCGAGCAAGGGAAAAAGAAACAGAAAGAAAAGTAGTCAGTAGGAGGCTTAGAAGACTTGGGTAGTGCCCCGATGAAAGAAAAGATGCTGCCGCTGTGTGAAAACAGGGGACCCGGGGCTGACAGCTGTGACTTCGACTCCGCACAGGCACATAAAGATGCTCTCTAGATAATTCAAGCGAATCAACTAGAGGATGGGCTGAGACTTCGCCCAGAATAATCGGAGATACGCTGGGCAGGAAAAAGGGAGGGTTGGAGAATTCCCTGGATCGCTCAAAGTGTGTTGACCATTCGGGGGCTCTGGAACGACCCAGCCTTAAGCGTCGCCTCTCACTCGGCCGCCCAGTCCCGCCTAACCCTTTCCCGGGTTTCTGTCCCATTCCACCACCTCCTCTTTCTCCGCCCCGCGCCTTAAGAGGAAACAAGTAAAACACGGAGCGCCGGAGCCGCTTTCCGGGGCTGCTCTGGGCATGCGTGGTCGCCCCGCCCGCACGCAGGTGCAGTAGCGGCCTGTGTAACCGGCACTGCCCATTTCCGGTATGGGGGCGCGTGTGCCCGTAAGCCAGCTCAGGCCACCCTCGTTGACCACTTTTCCCGCGGGCCCCCGCCCTCCGTTTAGCGTGGAAGAAGCCTCGCGAGATCGCGTTGGCCGGGTCCCAACGGCGCCATCTTTGTGCCTGGCGTGTGACGGCGCCTGCCGAGAACCTGGAAGTCGGCTTTTCGCGTGCCAAGTTCTCGCTGCGACCGGATCCAGGAAATATAAGGCGGGCCTCAGTGGGAGGGACGCACGGAGGGAGGAGGGAGGAAAGGGGGCGGCGGCGGCGGTGGCGGCGGCGGCGCTCACCGGATCCGGGCTCCGCGCGGCGCGCACCCGAGGGGGGGGTCGGGCGGGGAAGTGGCGCCGGCCCGGACCCCCCGCGGGAGCCGGCGGCAGACGTGAGGGCGAGGCGGCGGCCGCGGCCCCAGAGCTGCAGCGTCGGGTGAGTGTCTTGGGGAGGAGGCCCGGCACCTGCCCGGCTCGGGGTGGCAGGGGTGGGTCTGAGGGTCGTGCCGGTCACCCCAAGCCGCGGGAGCCCGTGGGCGTGTGCGCGACCCGCTGCGGGTGATCGGGGGCGGCGGGGGGGGGGGGGGCGCGGCTCGGCCCGGGGCTGCGGCGGCGGAGCCCGGGAACTGCGGGACCGACTGAGGTATGCGCCGGGCCTGGTGCCTTCGCGCCTGCCCCGGACGCCCCGGGAGGCCGACGAGAGAGGGAGTGGCCGGGGGCCCAGCTGGGGCTTCGCCCCCCCACCCCCCCACCCCAGAGCGGAGAGGATGCCGTCCTGCCTCCGCGGGTCCCGGGACCTTGCGGGAGAGCGAGCAGCTGCGGACGGCCTCGAACCTGGGCGCGGCGGCGTTCGGGCTGGAGGACGAGCGAAGCAGCCCCCCACGGTGGGGGCCGTTTAGGGGGCTGGAGCCGCTCGGGCAAGGTTCGTTTAGGAATTGCACTCGGCGCGGCAGGGGAGGGTGGCCGCTGACCGCCTGCAGGTTGCGGGGCACCGAGCAAACATTGTCGACGACGGACGAGGACGCTCGTTTAAAGATCACAAGCTCAGTCCTCTGAGGTCCAACAACAGATGAGAGTTATTCCCAGTTGGAGTTCGGGGAGTTGCGTGTCCTGTGCCAGCTCATTAAAGCGCATGAAAGCGGAGTTTTGTGAGGTGTGTGTGTGTGTATGGTGGGGGGACAAGGTGGCGTGTCAAGTCAGCTGCCTAGCAAATCAGAAGTTCATGCTGTCGATGTGTTAAAAATATAAAAGCAGGTCTGTTCTGACTCTTGGAGACGTGCTTTCTGTTGAAATTTTCTTCGGAAGATTGTCACCTTTGGTCCAGACAGGGTTTGTCAAATCCATCTGTTCTGGGGTTTGTCGGGCAGACAGTTTTTCTGGCACGGGGCACAGTTCCTTCTGGGATGTGAGTGAGAAAGAACGACTGGGAAAGACCAATTGAACAGAGTGCATCTCCTTGGCATGCTCTTTCGTTTGGGAGGGTTCAGGGGTTTTACTTTTTTTTTTCTTCCCCTTGCGTTGCAAATGTTTTGTCATACTATGGCAGAGCATGCATATGAAAGCAGCATTTGGATCAAGAAATGGAGTTTGAAGTGAGTTTAATTTACCACTGCGTTAAGTTGTAGGGGGCATCATCGTTTATAAAAAGTTTTCTCGTGGTATCTTTTGGGGAATGTTGGAAGAATACAAACATAGTCACGTACATCATTTAAAATCTGTGTGTGGTCTGAAGTTTTCGGTCTTGAGCACTCCTCCAGCTAGCTTGTAACTTCTCCCTCTCTCCACATCAGGGTAATAAAAGCAAAAGTTAGCCCTAAGTGAAGGTAAATATTAAAATATGCAGGTTTCATCTTTACCTAGAAACCACGGTGTCGTGTGCCCCTGAATTTATTCCCCATGTGTTTGACAAATCTTCTCAGCTACAGATTCGAGGTTTGGAATGGTTCGTGGTTGTGTGTTGGAGTGAAGGAGTAAAATACTCAATACTTTTAGGAACTAGGCTTGGTGGATTGCGTGTTTGTATTTAATCCTGGTAGCTACCTCCTGCTGAAGAGAATGTCAACCCTGTTGGACAGATAATGACACTAACCTCCATTCTCCTGCAGCACTTTACTGAGGAGGTTACAAAGCTGGTAAATTGCAGAGCTAGCTCTGAAAATCATGTGTCTTGTTCTAGAATATGCACTTTCTACTGTACTCTGCACAAATTTATGTGCTGACTGAGACAAATTTTATGATCATGAACATTTAGTTAACAAAAAAACCCTTTTAAGTCTCTTGATAATCTTGAAAGCATTTTAGTGGCCTAGCTTGAAGCTAGAGTTGTTTTTTACTTTTCTGATAATGTTAAAGTTCTAACCAGAGGTAACATACTACTTCCAGTATCTTGATTTATAAGGCTTTTGAGTAGCCAGTTACCTATCTGAATTTCAGCTGTTTTCAGTAATTTTGCCTCTAGATTCAGCATGTTCAAAGTACTTGAATGATCAAAAGTATTTTGTTTACTCTGGTTGGTCCTGCGTAGTTTTCCAGGTTACACTGCTAAATGAAATACTGATTATAGAGATTTGAATTTGCCTTTTCATAGCTTGGAGGTATACACATATTCATCCATCTACCTAACCAACTGCACCCAGAGCACTTGACGACTGACACCACTTTCTTCTCTTTAGTACAAAAATTTCAGACCCACTTCATTGTTTTCAGGAAAGGTGGCAGCTTTTACAGGATAGCCAGCATAAACTCACATGGGGCTGGGAACTGAAAGACTTTATGTGTTCCCAAACAGCAACTGAGATGTCAGTGAAACAGCAGGCACATCTTGCCAGTGCTTGGCCATTGGTCACTTTTGTTCTCTAGTCCCTGCTCTTGCATCTTTGATGTGCTGCTGGGCTTGCCATCTGGGCCATTATCTCTGCTTAAGGAAGTTCAACTGGTAGAGTAGCTGCTGAAATTTAAAAAGGGGGGAAAGGATGCCAAACTGGCACTCATTCTCTAGCAGGCCATTTGGTTTGGCTTACCTGTTGAATTAATTATCCCTGGCAGGAGGTTCGAGAAAAGTTATGGAATTTGGAATTTGCTCTTCCATCTTTTAAGAAATAAATGGGTTGGGAGGCCTTCGGGTAAGTAGCATTGTCTTATGAAAACATGGTCATTAGAGGCATAAAATAAAGAAGTTCCTGAGTTTCTCAGGACAATCTGTGTATGCACTGTATGCACATGTTATATGGAGAGTTTTTTTTTTTTTTTGGTCAGGGCACACTTGGCTGTGTTCAGGGCTTACTCCTGGCTCTGCACTTGAGGATTACTCCTGGTGGTGCTTGGGGGAACTATATGGAGTGCCAGTGACCGAAGCTGGGTTGGCCAAATGCAAGGCAGTGGCCATGCCTGCTGTACTGTCTTTCTGACTCCAGGAAGTTTGAGCTTTGCTTTAATTCTTTGGAGACTTGATGGACCATCTTTGGTTGAATGAGCAAGGTTTTTATTATAGTTAAACTTTCAAGAAAGAGTTAAATATACTTATTTAGGAAAGATATGGTATTTGGACTGTTGGGTTAGAAAAACATAACCTGTTGTAGCTGGAGGAGCATTATAGAGGTTAAGGCATTTACCTAGCAAGTGGCTGACCCCAGTTTGATACCTCCACTCATCCCCAAGTACAACGGGGTGTGGTCTCAAACCCCCATCCCAAAATGAAACAAATGAAAATGTAACTGAGTGTGTATCCAGAAAAAAATTTTCACTGAAATGATTATGTTGTCACCGTAGAAGAAGAGATACAGGATAATTGTCTCTTTCATTTGGAGGCTTATTTTTATATCTTCTGTATAATAAACCCCAATTTATTACCATGACGATAAATGCAGATTTGTCTACAAGTGAAATGGAGGTGATAAAATATTTGGAACTGTCAAACTGAATCCTAAATACTTAAGTGATTTCATTATAGTTAAATTTATTGGCACCCCAATTAATTTGTCCAACACCCTAGCTTGTCACTTCCCTTCAGCTTCCAAGTGCTCTCCTTCCATCCTTTCTGACACTGTCCTTGACATTGTCTGGAACCTTCCCTTAGTTCTGATCTGGCACTATAGTGTGAGGTCAGTGACATTCCTTAAGTCATCTCCCATTCTCTGAGTTGTGCCCCGGGAACTCAAGAGGGATCCAGATAAGACCCCTTTACTCATCTGTTCTTCCATGGAAAGGAGAATGAGAGTAGCCAGAGCAAGTGAGAAAGTGTCAGAACCTTTCCAGGATTTCTCTTTCTTTTCTTTCTTTCTCCTAATTGTTAAGGTGGGCTTTAAGACCCACCAACTACAGGGACAGAACCACAGACAGGGTCCCTTGGACCTCTTCAGCCACCCCCACCCCCTGGCCTGCACACTTTTCTTTCCTTTTAGCCACCACCTCACCCCAAGCATTGCCTTCTTGAAGCTTCTCCCACCTCCGCTGTATCTTTTTTCCCTCCAAACCTAGAAGCCTAAGGTACTACTGCCACCAGCCCCCTCCATCCCATTGTGCTTCCTGCTTTCTGCTTGCCTAGGAAGCTTGGTCTTCTTATTCTGGGGAAGCCCAGACACCCAGATTGGGGGTGGTTAGCTTTTACCCTAACTTGAATGCTAAGTAGGTTTTTCCATCGAAGCATTATCTGTGTACGTTTATTATATTCTACATGATGGCTATTTGTGCTTTTCTAGCCTTGGTTTGAAAATCTGGTACACAGATCTTTGTTTTCTAGAAAGGCAAGTTCTGAGGTTCAAGCAGACAATGAAAATCAGCTTGAGCTGCAGATGTTGTTGGGGGTTGTGTGCTTTTTGATACTCAGTGAGATGATAGGGAGGACTCCTTTTGCTGTCTAAAATTAAGTAGTTTGTGTGGGTCAGATGACTTTGGGGAAGATAAACCTTTTTTAGATTGTTAGAGATGAATTTGTGAATTTGGGAAGTTTTGAAATGCAATTGAAGTACATCCCACCCCAGGTTAATGTTCATAGTTAAAGCAGATATTACAGTGTTGTGGAAAGAACTAAGTTATGGTTTGCCATTCGATGAATATCACCATTAATTGTTGCTGTTTGGAACTTTTCAAGGGTGTTAGAATTCCTGCCGTTAATTTACCCTAGTTTACTTATCAGTAAACACAGACAGTATGTTTATTTTACCTGAAGATTTTAATATAGTTTTATTAGTCTGTTGTGGAAATAGTATGCTGCCACCACTGTTAGTAGTGTTCAAACAAATGAGGGATTTCAAATGATGAAGGTAAAGCAAAATGCATTTAAAATTTGTCCTCCATAAATGTATTTTATCTTAGTTTGGTTGGGGTCTTTAAAAATGTTAAAACCACTCTTTTTTTAAAAAATGAATTTGAGTACATATTCTGTGTTCATTTTGAGAGTTTATCATGTTATTACAGTCAAGAATGCAGCGGCTAAAA